TAGCAGTGCTAGCAGTGAATCTCTGTGCTTAGACCACGATAAGAAGCCATAAATCTTAACCTCGAGCCCACACATACAAAAATCTCATTCACGACTTCTCTGAACCCAATATCTGCTTCATGATGTCATGGGTGGCTAACCTTATATTGCGATGTTTCAAAATCGTTACAAACACAATGGTTTGACTGCAATGAATGAACGAATGACCGATCTGGCAACACCATATTCCGAGAATTAACTCCTGTGTTTATCTAACACATTAGGCAGCGAGGAATTTCAGACGCCTACAATCGTGCATAGCGACATGTCCCATACGATAAATAAGCTACAACAAGAGATACCATTGAATGTGAAGTCGCCACAAGGACTTACACTGCTAAAACGCATGGTGCAGAAAATGTATTGCACTGCTAGAACGCATGGTGCAGAAAATGTATGAATTTCAGAAAATTTTATTTTGGGAATCAGTGTAAAATTTATTTACAGATATTAAAATCTGTAAATTAGAATATCTGATTCTATATTCTTTCTACATAAAAGGAGCGTTCATTTCGTTCGTTTATCATAAAAAATGTAGAAATCACACCATTTTTAGAAACATGCTTACAATTTCATTGCTCTAGAAGGGCGGGCATTTAAATAAACTCCGTCCAGCTGCCCCTACCAGAAATTAAATGGCCCGTCCGATAAAGGTTAAGAGAAGAGTGTAAATGTGTACTACACTTTTCTCCAAAGTGTGTTTTGTCATTTTATATACTCTGTTAGCCTTAATATGTATTTGTTGGAGATACATATGTGTTGTCACAAACCTAGTAATGCCAGACATGACACTACAGAAGGTAAGCTATTACATGTTGTACATCTTAACCTTTTCATATAGAAATAGGGGATTCAAAACCCTGGCAACTGGATCTTAAATTGGGGGTTTTAAAGAGTAATTGTATTAATATTGAAATAGTATATTTTTGGAACTATTCTAGTAATAACAACATGAAGGAAAATAAATTTCAGAATTCTATAATTCTTTTCTCTGGGTACAAAGATTACTGTTTCCAAAATTTTTCCCCCCTTTGGTGCCACAGCCCCAATTTGGGCCTTGGCCTACCTCCCTGAAACTCTGTTTCACTTCGGTTTACTAGATCTTAGACATTCGGTAGGACTCCTTGGGTGGGTGATCTCAGCTCATCGCAAGGCCTCTACCTGTACACAAACACAGAAAAATGAACACCCACACAAAGACACTGAACATCCATGCCCTGAGTAGGATTACCTGGGTTCCAAGCGAGTGAAGACAGTGCATGCCTTAAACCGCTCGGCTACTGTGACCAGCCCCAAAATATTTATAGACACGTGAAATGAAACAAAATAGAGGGTGTTCAGATGAGATAGAAACTTGTGGCTTTCCGTAGCGCATCAGTAGTTTACTGTGTCACCATGGATGCAACAACATTGGGGGTTTCCTTGCATGTTGCACTGACTCTGATTAAACAGCACTTCATTACTGATTACTGTAGAAAGGTAACACAGCCTTACCATATTTTATAAGAACTTCTAGAATTGGCCGCCTTCTGCTTTCAGTCATGCCTTGCAATGTGCAGACAAGTTTTATGTCAAATTCTGAAGTTCTGGCATAGAGGCTCAGGCTAAAACTGCAGCCACCATAATGTTACAGTGCACAAAATTTTGTGATGTTAGTACTCTTTGGACACATTGCCACTGCTTCATTTGATCAAATGTGGTGTTTGTATATCTTATGGTTCATCTACTGACAATATACATATAGTAATAAAATATCAATTAGTCAAACAAATGCAATTTTTCAGGGTTTTTTTTTTTTCATTAAAGCTGTTTCTAGTGTATGGTTGCTTTGTGTTATAGTTTGTGTTTACTTTGATATCATGTGCACAAAATATTGAAGAACAGTACTTGAAAATAACCATCAAAGATGTCCTAAATGACAGTAGTGATAACAAGAGTGGTACACTTGTGGATATTGATTCAGATGGTGGTAAAAGGTCAGCATCATCTGTGTAAAATCAACCTTCTTGCCTCTGCTTGCAAATATGCAGGAGTGGTTCAGAATTATTGTGTTTCCATTATTTCAGACTCGGAATCAGGATCGTGCTTTGAAATTGTTAAGCAATGAGGTGCCTTTCGCGTCTGGTTCTACCCCACAACCACAAAAGAGAGTATACAATCAGGTCCCCCTGGAGTTGGCTTTGATGGATCATGTGAACCAGTGGGTTCATTTTTGCATGTTATTAATTCTGAGCAAGTTGAAAAATGAAAGAATGGACTAATCTTTATGCGAGACAAAAAGTAGGTGAATTCAGGGCTCAGAATGACCTCATCCCCATCTCTAGATTCAGACAATGAACAACTGTAACCCTATCAGAAACAAAAATATTCCTTGCTATAATCGTGCACATGTGTATCAGCTAAAGACCAAACATTGAAAGCTGTTGGAGCACAGATCCTGTGCTAAGTTGCATTTTCTGTACCAATGTGCTGTCCCATGACATATTTCAATATTTTGTCAGTGTTTGGCCATAGTGATAATACCCAAGAAAAGAAGGCAGGTGAAAATGGCTTTGATGCCCTCTTCAAAGTCAGACCCATGCTTCAGAACTGGATTGCTTCTCTTATATACTGTGATCTGTTGTATTGTAGGTTATACAGTGTCTATAGAAGAACTTGGCAATTTTGCATAACCTGTTGCACTGGGCCTGGCAGTAAGAAGGTTAAGTCAAACTTATGTATTGATACAGAGTCCTCATATAATGTAATTAATCATTCTGTATGTTTTCACAGGTATCCCCCTTTGAAGTATCTGGGCTTGTCAGCAGGGAAGTTTATGAATGAAGGCGTGGCACAGAATTCAACAATCAATGATTTCTTTGGTGTGACACAGAAGGAGTCAAACAAGGTAGTTTGTAAGAATAGTAGTGGTACAGATGACCAGAAACACGGAAAAACTGTGCTTACTGATTCAAGTAAGGCTTCATCCACAGATAACTCATTCTTTATTAAATATATCAAGCAACACACTCTTACTAAATCTGCTGAAACAAATAGTGATATGGTTTTGGTTGGCACACATGACAGCAGACCCCATGACAATATAGATTTGCCCATTTCTAATGTACTTGACACGAACAGTGATGATGATATGTTTGAGAGCCCAGTTACAGACATGGAGGAGAAAAAGAAAGAGAAATCAAATTTACCTGTTAGAACCACAACAACAGAGTTGAATCCAGAGGTATCAACTTCTATGATTGAAAACCAGGTAGATGATGACACCAGTAAAATGTGGATAAGTCTTGGGGAGCTGTTCCCAGATTTCAGCAGGATTGATGACGATGTTGTGGCCCTGCTACCAGTGTCTTTACAAGAACGTCTGCAAGCTCGAATTGAAAAGGCGAAGGACAACTCTAGAACAAGTAATAAACAAATTTTGACGAACATCACATCAAATAATAACGTGATAGACACAACTGACTCTCAGTCTGTTGGAGATCATTCACAGGGTGAAACTGAACTAGGTACAAAGGATGTCAAACCGTTTATACATGCTGCTGAATGTGTTACACAGTCAGAAATGGAAAAGCAGCCATACATTGAAAACATGTCACCCAAAGGTATGAACCTATTATATCATTCTAATGATCAGAAAGATGATTTACTTTCTAAGAGCTGTTCTGTCCTACAACACAGAAGGAGTGAAAACTTGGATCAGATACAGGTTTGTGATGATATATTTCCTCCTGACACTAAGCAGCAGAACTTGAGTGTCAGTCGTGTTCCACTGAGTCACAGAGACGAAGCTGCTGGACCTAGCACTGACTTTATGAACCACTGCAAAGTAGATGTATCATATGCAAAGAATATCATGGCAAGTGACAAAGATACAGAGAACAGTGAGAGCATTGTAGCTGAGAACTGCCCTCACTGTAGAAAAGATGTCCCCCTGAGTGAATATGCAGAGCACCTGGATTTCCATACAGCAGAAAAGTTGCATGAAGAATTGAATGGGGTAGCAGTGCATGTGAAGAGCACAGTGAATGCTTCAGCACTACACAGGAATCCTTCATTAGAACTTACAACAAAACGAAAGCATGGTTCTCTGTGCAAGAAGTCCTCTGTGATTGGTCGTAACAAGAAAATGAGAAGTATTACTGCATTCTTCACTCCAAAGTGAGGATGAATGCTTACTGTATTTCAAGGGGGAGTATTAGTGTTGTTAGAAGTTCACTTAGCAGTTTTTAACATCATCCCAAACTTAATTTTAAAGATATCCTTTTTAAAATAATATAATTTATTTGTATTCACAATTGATCAAAAGAAATAATTTGGACATTTATCATGGCTTTTCCTCTGGATAAGATATGCATGATTTATGGTCATGTCTGCAATTTTGAATCATGATATAAATGAGGAAATTAGACGCTAGCATCTCGTTGCAGAGTTCCAGGTTCAGTCCCAAGACAATCCATCTGTGGTACAAGGAGGAACTGAGATGAATTTTCTCCTTCCAGTCATCATTCCATTAACCTTTAAGAGCCGAGCGACTCCATATGGCGTCATGAAAATAAAGTCAAGGGGACGAATGACGCCATATGTTGTCGCGCAGTCCATGCGTGCGGCCGGCTTTTTAAAATCTAATTTTAAGTTATAAATTCTTTTTCTACTTACATGATTTTTGGTCATCAGCTTTATAAGTTGTCTCTCTTCCCACCTGCGTCGTCTAACGGACTGTTGGCTTCGTGTGGAAATTTTGGAAACATCCGGAAATCCAGTGTCCGACGTCGCACTTCGCGCACTTTGTCTGGACGGTTCTTCGTTTTCCATGCGAAAAGCACACACGACACCTCAATTACGAAGTAGAGGAAGTCGA